ACGTTCGTTTATTCTCCGTATCCCATATGCGGCCACAAGGATTCGAACTGTTAATTGAGAGCAATCGTCTCCCACTGACCCATCATGGCCCAATCATCGCTAACTGTTCTTGTTACTATGTCTTCACAAATTCATTTAGGGGCCAATGTTCAAAATTTGCCATTCACTTTTTTGAACGAACAGTTACCAAGACGGAATGCCACGCAGGTTCGATTCCCGGGCCGGGAGAAATATTTGTATGGCCTACATTTATTGCTTTGGTGAGTTTGGGTGTAATTTGTGGTTGTCTATGTGTGTGTCCATAGTACCCGCGACACAGGGTTTCCCTAGTGCGGGGCTATGTTGAGTGTGTGTGTTATTATTATTATTATGCTCATATTCTTTATTGGAACGATCATATTTGTCAGTGTCTGCATGTTTGTATGTACGTCAAATATTTTTCCAAGTACGTCAAACACCCAATTACTACTACTTTATTTGTTTGGAAGTGCCGTTATTTGGGTCCCTTTTTTTACCGACTTCAAAAAAGGAGGAGGTTCGCAATTCGACTGTATGTTCTTTTTTTTGTATGTATGTTACGCAATAACTCCGGTATTTGTGAATCGATTTTCATGATTCTTTTTTTGTCGGAAAGGGGATACTTCCATAGTGGTCCCATTTCATTTTGAAGAAAATCATCCACCTCGAAGGGTGGCTGTTCACGCATGAAGATTCACTTTTATAAATAGCGCCTAACTTTAATTTAGGAGCAATTACTTTAATGGTTGATTTTGCTATTTCTTTCATTCAAGGCGTTTTTCTCTCAATATACTTTGAGTAGTATCGCAGTGGGAACCTATTTTTATTATCTCCAGTGTCAAGTCCTGTATAGTGGCGAACTAGGGGATATTTCAATAAAACTTAGCAAATAGACGTACTTTTGAGGTCGGTTTTTTTTGTACTCTGTACTAAAGATTATATTGATTTCAATTTCGTCCTAACTCTTAAAGTTTGCGAATTATGTTTTTATAAATTCCACCTTTCCTTCGTTAAGCACTTTATATTTTTATCTAAGTATGTAAATTCGTTAATGGCATTTCAATACTCATCTTTATGTATGTTAGTAATTACTCCGTGATTTTTCCTAAAATGTACCAATTGGAAATGTAGTCACTAGACCCTTGGACGATATTTTCATCTAGTTCTAAAATCATTATTGTTATAATTATAGAGCATCATATTTATATCGTATTTATAGCGTATCATATTTTAACAAAATTGCTGAATTTTCTTGCTTGTTATCCTAACATAGCTTTCGTCGGCAATAAAGTTTTTATTGTGATGTGATGATTTCAAGTATCACTTGCTTAACTTCTTCTTCGCTTCGCTTCTTCCATTGCCACTGGTACTATCAGTTTTCGGACACCGTAGTGGCGTATACCACAGAGTAATAAATACATTAGAAACACTTAGTGTACTCTTAGAATAATGTTATCCACAGTGGTGTTTCATAATTATTATCATCGTTAAGTCTTATTTTATAGTTCAAGTTCAAGTTTCTGTTCGTCTTACTAATATATTTGTTACAAGAAACGAATGTAAACCTTAAACCGCTACAGTATGGTCGCTTCTTTTGGAGAACTAACTAAACACGAATATGTGTTCGTTCAGCTATTGACCGCTAGATGGCAGCACTTTGATTAAAATTTCATTATAAAGGTAAAACCTCGTAACTTGCAATGACAGGTATTGAACTGTCACCTAGTATTTATGTGGTCTGTGACTTTCATGAATGGTGTGCCATTAGGGTATATGCTTTCAGTGTGGAGCACATATGATTGTTTTGATTGTAGAGAAATATGACTGTATACTTAGTCATATATCATTATTGATATAGAGGAGTACTTATTTGTAATTGTCTGTTATGGCAATTGTTTGCTAATACGTTTTTTTAAATATCTACCTTGAAACACTTACTTTAATTTAATTCTGTTATTTTAATGTATTATAATCTCAATTTCTGTTATAATTAAAGCATTATAACATAATGTTGCAATAGCGACAGACGCGACTAACTTGAATGTAAGATTGGTAAAAATGCGCGTTTTTGTTGTAATGTATCATAACATGCATCGTGGCCTAAGTAATGGGTACGAGATTTTAAGACCTAATTATATAATAATTGCATACAACACTATTTCTACGAGTGAATAAAATAATGACACAGAACCCATATTTAATGTATACATATTTTGTTAACAATCCATGACAACAATAGCAATTTTTTCAATAGATTTTAACCCATTTATTAGGCAAAGGTTCCACCATACAGCCTCTTCATATATTTAGACGGAAACCAAACAAACGCTACAGTACAAAAAACCAAAGAGACAGAATAGAAATGGCCAAGTACCTATGTATATTTTAATCTACACTTGGCCATTTTAATTAACCAATCTTTTTTTATAAAGATTTACGGCCCGGTTGCAAGATTTAGGCCTATTTTACCAATCAGGAAGCAGTATAGCGTTTGAATAGCGTCGTAATTGACATTTTACATAGGTCGAATTTTTATACGACGTTCGTTTTTTGAAACTCATTATAGTTCTGTGTAAAGAACTTTAATGAAATTTTTCAACTCAGTGGCGAGTACCATAGACAATAGAATTTTGATTCAGAAGTAACCTAAAAATAAATAAAAAGTAACTAAACTTCAAAAAAAAATTACTTATGTAAAGAAGGGAGGTTCTTTCGTCCGTTGGATGAGGTTACCAAAACTAGCCAAGTGAAACTCCAAGTGGTTCAGAAGATTTTTATTTTTCACCTTGTATGTCGCCAATACAATTTTACCCTATATGCGGAAGATCCGGGCAGTTGTTCCCAAGAAGGGACTCACTCCTGGAAACCGTTCTGCGAGATGAGGTTTTTTCACCCTATATGGGCGTACGAAATATCAGAAGATCCGGGTAGCAGTTTCCAAGAAGGGACTCAACTCCTGGTGCCTTACTGAGCTCTCTGTATTCTCAACATTAACAACATTGTGTCCGAGTAGTCATCATTCGAGGGAAAATCTTAACACCGCGATTCAGAAATAACGCCAAATGGCTCAATGCCATCTAGCGGATTCTTAGAGAACTAAAAGTGAACAATCTGGCTTAGGGCCGTCTATTACATAAAGTAGGTTTGTTAGACTTACATATTATAAGCTCTCTATGATATGTTCAGAAACAGCATGTTACGACTGGTGAAATGGTTAAATAAAAAATTTTCTCACGCACGTCACACAACCGTAGTTTTTATTTAATTCATAGACTAACCAGAGTCGGCCCCAACTATCATATCGTTCGATATCAAGTTACGTGTGAAATTGTCAAAATTGTTTGCTATTGACATTTCATTTCGAATAAAACTTCATCTCGACTGATATTAGAATTGAGGTCGAATGAAATTGTTTTGTTTTTCGGAGATATTCGAAATTTGAATGTCATAATAAAATCGAAGCAAGAAGCAATAATAACATTTTCACAGATAAGAAATTTGTTATAACAAAACAGTTTATCTTTAGGCTGGTCGTCATTTGCGGTTTTTAAACACATCATAGAGGGTTTATGATATGTGTGTAGATAAAGCGATTTTCAAAAAGAATGTCGAGCTTATTTCAATAGTAAAAAACATTTATATTATATTGCTTTGTAGTGCATTGTGTATTAAGCTCTAAATAAGAAATTCCTAACAAGAGTCTAGGATTGTAATTTTTCACCGCCCGTGCTACATACAATGTTTTTCATCACATTGCGAGGTAATAAATACTGAACGCATTTGTATGAATAAATATCGATTCAACACAGCAATTATGGATTTTGTAAATTGTCTCTACATTTTCTCAAACTAGTATCTTGAAGCATAAAATTATTGAATATGCAAATGTTGCAGGCTTATTTCACATCACATTTCCTTCATATTCACACACTGGCTTGCACGTATTCTTAAAATAATGTATTTAAATAACTTGATAAGAAATTGAAAATAAATAAAAAGTTTGCCATCTCCTGAATATTTACTCTTTGTAAGATACAAGTTTGAGAAAGTAAGGCATCGAAATGGTGCGTTTTTTTTTCTTTTTTATAAACAGCCATTTACGGCCAGCTATTCTTCCATAGATAATACAACTCTAATTAAAATGTTGTAAAAGGCAAAATCGCATAATGCATATGTTGCAATGTATGTTGGAATAATGTAATAAATAATTTCAAAACATTGAAGACTGCATGTTTTTGAATTTATAAAATCTTTAGTAAAATATAGTTAAATTGAAAATGTTTATAGGAAATGAAACTATTTTTCCGGATTTAAATCGCGTATATTTGTTTTTTCAAACAAACCGACGTTTCGGGCCCTTTACAGGTCCCATGGTCACGGTTGACTGAGAGTCAACTTACACAGTTACAACAGACAGAGTAACAACAACAACTGACTCTCAGTCAACCGTGACCATGGGACCTGTAAAGGGCCCGAAACGTCGGTTTGTTTGAAAAAACAAATATACGCGATTTAAATCCGGAAAAATAGTTTCATTTCCTATGTGTAACAATCGCGAAAACCTAAGAACTTGAAAATGTTTAGTTTTTTTAAACTTCAAGCTTTTGCGAAATGTTACTGTACTAATAATGAAAAAGCCCGTGTGCGTAATGTAGGACATTACGGCCGACTTTGGGTGCATATCATGACACTGTTTACGAGCAAATGTGAAGAAAAGTAATGTTAAACACACTGAATACGCTTAAAAGATAAAATAAAATGGTCATAGTACAAAATTTGATCTAGAGACGTTGCCTCTACGACGATGTCGAGATGAAATTACTCATGTCTGAGTAAGTTCAAAGAGTCGAGTAAATTTTTACTAGTTTGTTTGTCCATGATGACGCAAAGAGAATCTTGCTCATATATCTCATAGACAGATAGAAAAAGGGTGTACGGTTTCATTATTAGGTAAAAAGTGAAATATAGCAAAAATACTCAACAAAATCACAACTTTTAATACTAAAACTTAAATATTACACTAACAACAATTTCTTAATTCACTTCTAATTTATTGAATACATGAAATCTAAACCTTTTGAAGAAGAACCGTATCTCGGGCATTGTGTGATTTTTCATGTGGGTCGTAGTTTCCATTGTCACTAGTGTATAGGCTACTCTTGTGGTCGCAGTGGAGGCGTCCATCACGGTAGGAACTGATAAGTTGACAGCGCCGGCCATCCGTTTGGTGTCAACTGGTGTTAAAAAAATATTAATATAATTTAACATTATCATTTTTATCCGTCATGTGCTCACTTTGTGTTAGCATATAATGCAGTAGACAAGAAGGCTCGCATAGTACAGTGCTTCTGTTTTCTCAATGTCCCTCGGCAATCATCGGATTTCCAAATGCGCATGAATATTAGTTATTAGATTTAAAATCTTTAATAATTAGAATTTTGAACAACGTATATTTTTGATATTTATATTATTGTTTTGTTTTAATTATTTATCTAAGATTTACCAACATTTGATGACATTATTACCGTCTTAATAACGTAAGCTAGGAACACCTTAGAACTAAATGTATGAAACAGTTACGGGTACATATTACTTGCAATCAGTAAAAAGACTGACAACAACAAAAATTTACAACATAATTTAACATCAAGTAAAAGAGAAAATCTTAATAATTAATAACAACGGCAGCAATTAAAACTAAAATAAAAACATAATAATGCATTTGGTTTACTATAACGGGACGTGTCCTACTACATGAGTCACTGTGAATATCAATCGGTCACTAATGTTCATTTACCAATTTGCTTAGCCTTAAGATAGGAGAATTAGTTCAAAAAACTGTTTTTCGTAGCGGTGGAAACAGAGCTATAACTTTATTCCGAGGTTATCTAACTGGAACATGTATATAACATTTATTTGTTTTGATTCCCATATCAGCTCTATATAAGAGCTGTAAAACTCTTTCCCCGTTTTTAATATCATTTACTTCATGTTAGTCCATGCCATTATTGACATGGACTGACATGGAGTAATTGCTTTTATACAAGTTAGCAAAAATACAAAGTAAATAAAAAAAATAAAGTGTGCTGATTTTATATAATTAAAAATGAATATTTTTCTGGCTATTATTAATCATTTCAAGGATCTGAAAAGGAACTGATTTATATTTTTTTATTATAATTTTTTAAAATACTCTTCGCTGTTCCAATTTGAATCTCCACAAGCTACAGAAACATGTTGTTAGACTTTCTGAAAATAACCATTGTTGTCTTTTTTGAACGTATCGGCTTTTTGTAAAAAATACAAGTACACGCTGTAAATTATCTGTGTCTATGACTGTACTGTACCGAACGCAAAGGGCAACTGAATAAAATTCGACGACAGCCGAAACACGACGTTTACCGTGGGACATTGAGAAAATAGAAACACTGTAATAATTTTGGGGTTCGTCATAATAATAACAATAATAATACCGCACATACTCATAGCCCCACACTAGGGTAACCCTGTATCGTGAGTGCCATGAACACACACATAGACAACCAGAAATTACACCCAAACTCACGAGACAAATAAATGTAGGCCATACAAATATTTCTCCTGGCCGGAAATCGAACCGGGGACTTCTATGTGGCAGTCCAGCATGGCAACCGTTCGGCCACAAAGGCAGTCATGTAAATGTTCAAGACATTCTTATTCTTAGGAAATGAAACTATTTTTCCGGATTTAAATCCCGTATATTTGTATATAAATCCGGGAAAATAGTTCCATTTCGTATGTGTAAGAACCGCGAAAACCTAAGATTTCAATATCATTATTCTTGTTTTCACTTTTATTTTCCAAATACGATTGGCCATAGTATATTACAATTATAATTTGCAATTATACACTACCTTGCAGCTGGATAAACAAGAACAAAACGTCAATAAACAAACAATGTGTTACACAAATTACGTTTTTAAATAAAGCTTTCTTATATTACAACAAAGCTTAGATTAGTTTTGGTTGTGCTAGACTATCTCAAAACAAATACTTTCCACTACCGTTTTTTATTTCTGCATGCCTGAACTACGGCTCGTATAATATATTGGTAGAAACTATGGACCTCCACCTGCCACACTCTTGACAAACTTCCTTCGCCTCCTCCATTCCCATCAGTCTCAATTTTATACTTGGTACTTTTAACCTAGCCTCTTTTAAAGACATCCCGAATGTGATTGAGATATACCGACGGCTCCATCCATATTCGCTCTATAAATTTGTGCTGTCTATCTACCAACGTTCATTCTTTCTACAAGACCAAACCATCGGAGCATTCCCCTTTCTGTTCTCTTCACTACATCATCACTGTTCGGCATTCTGTCTTTAACACTAATACTGCACATATTACATTCACCTTAATTTAACGCTTTTGTCCCTGTTTTATTAATTACACTTATACGATACCATTTTATCGTAGATTTGATAATATTTAAAGGCTAAATCAATAATGGCTCATGTAATATTGTTTTTATTCGGTCTATTTTATTAACACTATAGCCAGTACACAACCAAAACTATTAGATAGCAAATACTCATATTTGATAATCACTTTTATAAAAAAAGAAAACAATTATTCTATGCAGAACCTACCGGGGTAAGTACCACCGCCCTGCCTATTTGAATACTGTACCGTGTCAAACCAATACACTGTAAAATCATAAACAGCATTAAAAAGAAATAAAATGTAAGTGCGCATTTGACCTCCATCTCACCTTATGGTAAGTGACGACGAGGATATATATAGGGTCTTCCAATAAGAGGTTTAATTTGAATATGTAAAAAAAACGAGTGTTTTTAAGCGAAATGTTTATTTGAAATAAACATCCGATGATTTCGCTTAGTTATGTCATTAATAATGGAAAAAAATATCAGTCATATGGACCCTATTCTTTTCATGAAATTTTCCATCACCAATTCGCACGTTTGCGGCTGTATGTCCTCGAGAACTTCACGAATTCCATCTTTGAAGTCTTGAATCGTTTGTGGGCCATTGGCATAGACCTTATCTTTCACGTAGCCCCAAAGAAAAAATCCAAAGGTGTTAAATCACAAGATCTCGGTGGCCAATTGTTTTCGATTATTAATGGCGTACGTCCTTTTTTACAATTAAATAAACATCCGATTATTTCGCTTAGAAAAACTTGTTTTTTTTTATTATATTTTTATTATATATCAAAATGAAACCTCTTATTGGAAGACCCTTTACTTCTAATATTCAGGGAACAGTCTTCAGACAGGGAATGTAACTCCAATGGCCGTTCGACATATACGCTTAGTGCAAATCCTTGGAATCTCAGCCTACATCCAGTCCCCCGATGAAAGGAGAAGGCGGAATTAAATCGCGCAATTCCCTCGCACACTCTCCGTGATATATTTTGAAGAACACACATAAGAAGGCAACTTTACGGCGGTGTTCAAGGCTCTGAAGCTTCGCCTCTGCTAAGTCCGAGTCACAGATAGATCTCTTGACACGCTTATCAACTGAAATATTTCGAGAAAAAGCAGAAAAAGATACATTCAACTTACTTTGTGTATTACCTTGATGACAGTGGAAAGGATTTTGCTGTAATTAAATTATAAAACAATGCGACTTGCAGTGTTTTGATTTGACGCGATAAGACATGTCTAATACAAGGCAATCGTCTGTCAAACTGTATTGTCGGATACAGTGTGCTACATTCACACTTGGTTAAGTAAACACTCTGTTTTTATTTACCAGAGAAAACAGACAGCTACTTAAAATTTCCTTTCTACATAAAAAGTAGCTGCGAGTATTGAACCTTAATAAAGTGTGGTAAACCAAATTTAATAATTAAAAAACAAGTTTAGAAATAATGACGCAGACTATATATACTGTACTTTGCAAATTTCTCTGGATAATAGTAAAACATGAAAACGTGATATAGCTGGTTAACTTGATAAAATAAAAACCACGCGAGCGAATAAAACACAGCTATGGGAATAACTTGGGAAAAGATTCTATTATTAAACGTAAGGACTTTCATCACCCAGTATTATTATTATATATTGTAATGACACTACTACATAATAATCCTCAAAATTTAAACATCTGAGTTACAAAAGAATGAAGACATTGTTAAAAAAAATTACAAATAAAACATTCTTATTTTGGAAACAAAAAAAGTTAAAACCGTAAATTTAAAAAATCCAACAAAAGTATTCTTCATAAAAGAGAAATGTCTTAACTGAAACAAAATATAAATACTTCGTAGTAGCTGGCTCTATTTAAATAGCAACTTGAGAAAAGAGAATGAGAGAAGAAAAATTTTTATTTCTCGAGTGGGCCTCACATTTAGAGAACGCGTGTCCAGGTGGCGGATAGGCTCGGCAGATATGCAAGGTAGGAGGGAAATAAAATACCTTCCGCGGACCAACAGGCCGAAGATGGACACTCCGTCATCAAACCCCCGATGTAAGCTCCTCCAACATATTTAGAGTAGAGGTCGTATTGGGTGCTGGGTGTTTCGGCTGGAATACACCGGAAGAGATGGCGGTGGAAGAGCCTTTCACAGGTCAACGGCGGCGCTCACATCCTGGTGCAGGATGGCAGCCTTGGCGTCAGGTGGCAACCGGCCGTAAAACCAAAAGCCAACTTTCTACTTCTGGTCATGAATAGTACAAATAATCAAGGCTAATATAACTACTAGGGCGTACCCCTTAAGCTATGGGAAAGGTTACAGGAGAGGTGCAAGAAATGCTAGGTCGTACCCCCGAAGCGACGACAATGTCATCAGAGCACCCTAACATCTGTTGCATCCAAGAGACGAAATGGAGGGGGTATAAGTCGCAGAGCGTTGGGCATGACTACAAACTCATTTACCACGGTATAGGAACACAGAATGAGGTTGGAATTGCAGTAGATAAAGACCTACAAGATTGCATAGTGGTCATCAGAATCAGCGATCGGTTAATGTCAGTAAAGTTCGCCCTCGACGACCAGCCATGCATGAACGTAATATGCGCATACGCCCTTCAAGTCGCCTGCTCGAACGTTGACAAAGAGGCTTTCTGGGACGATCCCGACAACAGAGTATAAATACATAGGTGGCGATTTGAACGGCCATGTTGGTGACAGAACAACGACGTACCAAAGAATTCATGGCGACTGAGGATATGGAAACATAAATCGAGAAGGCGAAAGCATACTTGAATTTGCATTAACACACGATCT